GCTTTAACAAGCCTCTTTTGTAAATCCAATATAGGAAAATTATCCAGGTCGCTCTGGAAGTGATATTAGGAAAATTATCCATCTAGCGAGCATCTAGATGGGGTATCTCTAGGAGGTGGGGGGATGTTGATACATGTGTGAGATGATATCACCACAGACATGTGGCAGTGTTCCAGTTTGTTATAGGAACTGCTATATTCATAACCATTTATTAACTGCTTTTTAAATGTACATTATTGTTTCCTATAAATAAAATGGGGAAATTAATCAAAATGCCCTAAAACCCAAATTTAGGAGAGAATATAAAAAGCAAAACTCGAATTTCTAAATAAATAATGGCACATTGCCATCATTTTTTAAAAGGTTTGAATACTGAACGATTGATTGGCAGAGTATTCACAATATCTTCCAAGTTTGTTATATGGTGCCATTTTTCTCCATTTGGATTATTTTAATTTTGTCTGGTTATGGGGTTTTTTAATCCTTTTTTTTTGTTTGTTTTTGCAAACTAGCTGTTTGCCACCCAGAGTTATGGGCAGCCATATACATTTTCTAAATGAATAAACAAACAAATAAATCTTTACCTCTCATGTGATGTTATCCAATCTATCCTCATATGTATATAATAAAATCAAAGTACAACTGCTTGATTCTGAGCATGCCTTTAAGAGTGTCAGACACATGATATTGTACATGTAAATTAGGACTTACTTTCAAATTCAGCATCAGAAATTTATTTTATCTTAGTCAATCCTGAAAAACTTCTTTTCTCACGATTCCATAGCCTGTCTAGGTGCAACATACTCATCGCCTACATATAATTTTTACTTTCTAGTTTCTCGACAGTTCCCCTTTCAGAACAGCTTTTATGAACTCCTTTACTCTTTACAGTGTTTGGTTTGTATAGTGACTGTCTTAGATCTAGGATCATACAAATGCTCTTGTGGTTTTGCGGCTGCCGCTGAAGATTGTGGTATGTGGTGGACTGAATTAGTGTTTCTTTCCCCCCCTTTTCTGTTGCCAGTAGGTGGAATACAGCTGGTTTTCATTTGAGAAGGAACCTGACAGGTCCAATATGCTGTCACAGTAATTTGGTACAAACACGGTGGTTTAAAAAACAGCCACATTTTCATCAATCATAAGTGATCATACAACCCAGGGTGTAAGTTTCTGTCTTCTCTATGAAATGTTTGTCAGGAGCAGAACAGACCTCCCCACTTGTTAGAATCCTTAGTATTTTATATGTTATTAAAAAAAAATGTCCTAAAACAATTACAGTATGTGAATGAACATAATAATTTATGTCTTCTAACTTTTAGCATATGTACGAGGGTTTCATTTCTTTTGAATTAGCAAGCTTTTGACTGCCATTAGTTTTTAAAAATACAGAAATGAAAAAAATTGTCGACAATTATGCATACATCTCTCTTAGCCACACTATATTTGTTAAAGCAACCAAGAAGTAACAGGTAATAAATGCAATGATTGGAAAAAATGAAATCACTCTGTGAGATGGTGAAGCTGCTGGGAAGATGGAGGCTAAAAGTCAGGGAAAAAATAGGTATCCAGTGAAATGACCTATTTGGATGGTGAGAATTAGTGAACAGGTGGATGTGGGTGTAATCTGATTAATACAGGTCAGTCTAAAAGTGGTTACAAGCCTTGTTTATTAAGTGGTGTGGAAAAGAGGGCCCATGTAATAGTATTTGGGAATGACCTTGAGAGACTGGGTGAAGAGTTGGAATGGTCAGATAAGAGGGAGCATAGCCTACAGCTGCATAGTGGGAAGAGGAAGAGGCTCAGGAAAGACCCTCCCTAAGTTATTGGGCTGTAAAGGTGACAGTGGGAGAATTGTACTGTCAGACTTGCAAGATTTTGTTAATGCAGCTTTACAATAAAGTAGAACTAGCTTATCTGACCGTGTTTCCTGTCTGGTCTACTTAGTAAGGCTGACAGCCCATTGCTGAGCATTTGCTTAGTCCTTTAGACTAAGGACTGTTTAATAAAGCTAATGCTTTATTTACAAAATAGCAATGTCAGAGAAGAGAAATGGATTCCATCCTGGATTAAATATAAAGTTACCTGCAACTATAGAAGTGGCTAGAAATATCTGCCAATATAAACTATATTAAAAATTGATTGATTTGGTGTCATCAAGTTGGTGCTGACTTATAGTGACCTCATTGATAGATTTTTTCCAGGATGATCTGTTTCCAACCTGGTCCTTCAAGTCTTCCAATGGTGGACTCAGTACTGCTGTAATTGAGTTCATCCACCTTGCTTTTTCCTTCCACCTTCCCAGGAGTTTTCTCCAAACCAAAGCACAAACGCATCAATATACTTTCTGTCTTCTTCTTCGAGTCCAGTGTTCACTTCTATAGAGTTTCAAAGCGAAAACCATTGCCTGCATGATTCTGACCTTTGTGAGTAGATACAAAATGGCATCTTTCTAAGGCCTTTATTGCTACTCTACCAAGAGCTGGTCTCCTTACTTTGGTACTGGCATGTATATTGACCTCTTCCAATCTGTTGGTCACTGTGCCCTTTTCCAGATCTGCTGGCATAGTTTGGTTAGAACCTTTACAGTTTCTTCTTCTGCTGGTTGTCATATTTCTGTAGGTATTCCACCATTTTCTGTAGCCTTCTGACTTGATAATGATTGGAGTGCTTAGTTAACTTCAACTTCTAGTACTACAGGTTCTTGTAAGTAGGGAATATCTTTAAATTATTAGTATTAGTATTAATTAAACTCGTATGCCACCTGACTCTCAATGATTCTGGGCGGCTCATGACAATCAAAGAAATTCAATCAAATCAATAAAACATAAAAGATGGCAAGCGCAATGAAGCAACGGATATCACCCTCCTTCTCCAAAGGCCTGGGTGAAGAGCCAGGTCTTAATGGCTCTTATAAACAACAACAGAGTGGGAGCCATCCGGGGTGCACTTCTGGGGTTGTGACAGATGATAGATTGTTTAATCTTGAACGTTGGCATCTCTATTGTACAGAATTTGAATACATGCAATCCCTAGGTTAAGAACATCTGACTTACGGACAACTTGTAAGTATGAACGGACTTCCACAAAGCCTATTATATTAAAAAATTGAGTTAAATACAATAGTTTGTAAGAACAAACGCACGCACTACTTTGTGACACTCATGAAAACATTGTGCAGCTACAGTGGTTCATCGGCATGAGGAAGGAGAGTGCCATCTGCCATTTTAAGTCGGATCACATTGCCGTTAATGCTATGTTGAGTGTATTTGTATTTGGTTTAATTTTTAAATTTATTAAATTTTTAAAATCTTATTTACCCTTGAAACTATGCCTCTGAAGTGATCAGAAAGAAAAGAGGTGAAATGCCAAAGAACTGTATGTACCTGTTCCAACTTACCTTCAAATTCGACTTAAAGACAGGCTTAGGAACTGATCTCATTTGTAACCCAGGGACTGCCTATACACTCCTTCCACCTTCATTTGATTTCCTGGACTCAGTAACTCTATGTCCATTGTCATCCTTTAGCATACCAATTTGAGGTTGGAACTTTTTTCTGACTTTGGAGATCTTTTGGAAGACTTCCCTTGTTTTTCTGTGTCTGTCTCCATATTTGGTATCTTTACAGATGTTGTCATGATCCTGCTCCTTCTCTCTTCTAACAGCTCCCTGAAATTCTATGTTAAGTTCCTTTCTGAGATCGTCAGCTTCTCTTCTCTTCTTGGCAATTTCCACCTTTTGTTCTCATACCCAGTTACATTTCTTCTGTTTCTCGGTCTTTTGCAGTGTCTTTTCACATTCATCTTTAAGAACTTATTTTATTTCATTCCACAGTTCCTCTGATTCCCTATCAATTAGATTCTGAGCTTCAAAACAATTCTGAATGTTCTTCTTGAAAACAGTGTTTATTTGGCCAGGATCATATTGTGGAAACTGGTTGGCTTTGTTCTTCTGGTTTACCTTGACTTAGAACTTGCACATGAGCAGTTTGTGATCTGTTTCACAGTCACAGTCAGTCCCTGGTCACATCTTTGCTATTACAACTGAACTGTTCCACCCTTCTTGTATCAATACGAAATAATTTTGATTTCTCTGGACTCCAACTTTGGCATTCCAGTCTCCAAACACAAGCAGCACATTTTGCTTGCATGTTCTGTCGATTTCATATTGAACTTTACCATAATTTTCATCATTGTTCCTTCTTTGTTTTTTGGGTACTGAGTAGTAATGATCTTTTGGCTGAAAGTGTCCAATTCCAGTCCATTTCAATTTGATGATGCCTAAGATGTTAATGTGTACTTGGTTCATTCCAACTTTTACTGGATAGATGTTCATGCTTCTTACATTCCATGTTCCCACTGTAATTCTTTCTTTGCAGCTTTAGATGTTCTTTTTTTTGCATGGCAACATCAGCAACGAGACATCCTGAAGGCTTTAATCTAGCCATCTCATAAACACCATTAGTACTTTGAAACATCCTCAGTTCTTTCTCAACAGCCTGTTGATTCCCATCTGACCTGAGGGGCCCATCTTCTGGCACTATATCATCAGTCACTTTATATTGTCTATCTGTGTGGTTTCCTTGGTAAAATACAGGAGTGGCCTATCACTGTCTTCTCCTATGCAATATGAAATGTTACCTTCAGTGTTGTCACTAATGTGATTATCTGACTCCAGAATCTTCCTACGTTGCTGCTAATAAGTATAGGTGCCTATTTGGGTGACACTGCTGAGACTGTACACTCTTAGTATACACTCCTGGTGTTTTTTGTTCATCCCTCCCAGGAAAAACCACCTTCCATGAAGAGGTAGCACAGCAGGATTTGTGGGATTGGGGGTGGGGGGTATTAAAACTAGGGGTACCATATTGGTCTGCAAAAATCTAGACAATTACTAGATGACAGCAAACTCTGGATTTTGGTACATCAGATGTAGTAGCCCTAGTGAAAAAAATAATGGCTATACAAATGGAGAGAGAGTCAGAATCATCTGAATTTGTTCTGGGAAAAAAACAATTCTCCTAGATTTTATATCCAGCTCCCCAAACTTGATATACTTCAGCTACAGTGGTCTGCTGCTCCCATCATGTTCAAGGAAGGAAGTGGAAGAAAGATGAGAGTGGACTTTCTAGAATCCTAAAGCTGGAATGCCCCACACCTTCATACTTCAGCCCCAGGGCATGTGCAGTTGATTCTCCTTTTTAGATTACCTACTCAAGGGCAAAGTTCAGCTATGTGAACTTTTCTGGATTTTAATCCTTTTTCCCCAGCTATCCATAATGAATAGAGATTGAACTGATGCTCAAAATTCTGTTTGGATTCATATGACCAGTCCCAGGATATAATTTCATAAATGCTTATTGTGTGGCATCTATAATCACTTGGAGGAAGTGATCCTTCAATTATTTGTATTTATTAGAGAATGAGTATAGAGATACCATGTATTTAGCTTTGCAACAGCTGTTCTAAGACACACAGGATAGGAAAATGGCTTTTGAAAAGTACAGCATCATCTATGTAGGAGATCCAAGAGGGAGAAAAGCCATTTTTAGCAAGCATTAAGAAATGGAGGGGCAAAGTTCACCTGAGAGTGGCCTGGGCCTCTCAATCATTTTCCTTTTTGGCCTTTGAGGGCATATGAATCAAAGCCGGGACACTGGAGATACATCTGATACTCTGTGTGTTTAGTTACTGGACATAATATGGTTATTCACATATCTGGACAAACTGCAGCTCATTTTATCTATGGGAAAGAATGATAAAGGAGATCTGAAATTCATATTATGCTGTAGGTCTAGATCTGCAGAATGCAATCCCTCAAACTAAAGCTATTTTATGGCTTAGGAAAGCCAAACTTTGCTAATGGATTCAAACAGAAATTCAGGTATTTCTAGGAGCATGCACTGTGTGACTGAAGGCAGCCCAGTATGGAACCCAGAAGCTTTCTCTATGCAAAAGCCCATATTCCAAAGAGAATGGATATTTCTGAAAGTTGTATATCAAAATGTATACTGGGGAGTTTATGTTTTAAAAAGGGCATATAATGGGGAAATTACATGAAAAAAGCATACATCAGGAATATGTATGTTTGAAAAGATTGCTTCAGGAACATTAATTTAAAAAAAAGGAACATCAGGGAAATTTGCTTTAAAAAAGATATATTAGAGAAAGCTGATATAGCAGCTTTATATACTAGGAAAAGTTATGAACTACAGTGTGATATCAATATTATTTACAATTTCTTTGTTAAAACGTCCATTAAAAAACTATCAGAGACCTTCTTAATGCATCAGTAAAATAAACTATATATTGACCTGCATCTCTAGTAGCATTCCACTGCATGCTTTCGAGTAGACATGTAGTACAGATTGTGCTGTAAACAGCCTTGTATTTCAACTAATTGATGCACAGACAGAGCAAACAGGACCAGCCTTTTAGGTAAGCCTTATCAAATCGAGTAACAGCTATGCCAGCACATAGCTCCTCTTAATCTCATGGGGTTTATGGAAAGGAATACACTGGTGGCTTGTCCCCCACATTGGAACGATTCGCCTCCTACTTGCCACTGCAGGGTACCCAAACCTGTCTGCCTAACACTGCTGCTTCGTGGGGATCACCTCTGTCAAAAGAAGGAAGAGATTTGGATAATGCTTTCCACTGTGGACTGACAGCTGGCAGGGGAGGAGGGAAGAGGAAGTAGGGAGAAGCTTCTCCTAGGGAAGAAAGGAAAGAAAAAAGGTTGTGATCCAGACTAGATTGCAGTGCACAGCTTTTGCTCACACTGGAAGGGGCATGGGATTTATAACCCAAACTGACACACTTTTCTCTAACACTCCAGTATACTTGTCATATGATTTTATCCACGGAATTTGCTCAAAAAGTAAGCAATCCAAAGAAAGGGGGAGGGAAGAGTTGCATAAAAACTTCATAAAACTCAAGTCGTATTTTGACATTCACTGCTTTATGCCTTGCCTTGCCCAACAATTCTCTGCTTAAGTTCCCAAATGCAGCCCGATAGAAATTAACTCTGAGTAGTGAGAAAACAGATGGTTACCTGTATGTAATCTAGGACCTGCTGGTGTCTTTGCTTAGCAGCGGCGACTTCACTGTCTGAAATTGCTTCCCTTAGGGACTGCTGGGTGCTCAGAAAATCTAGCTCTATGACAGCAGAAAGGCGGCAATAGAGACTAATAAATTTCTCCTTGTAACTGCAGAAATGAACTGCGGAGACAACAAAGCACAGAAGCAAGTGTGTTAAGTGGGGGACCCACAAAGCCTTACCTTTTGGAGGAGTTTGATCAAGATCAGTTGCCACAGCTTACATTAATCCCTAAAAACGGGGCTTATGGGAAGAGCCAAAACAACAGAAGGGCTAGGCCCTGCAAGTTTGTTACAGTGAAAACACAAGAGCGTTGTGTAAGGCCTTAACATCCAACAGGTTTATGTGGCTTAAGCTTTTGTGGATCAGAGACTACTATGGGTATTAAATTAGACTAGCAGAGTAGAAAGACAGCATTCATATATCTTGCAAGTGGCTATATTTGTTCTTATTTGGATGTATGAAGATCTGCCTTGAAATTTTACAGAGCAACTCATCATTGTTTTATATTTTGTTTTGCTTGGTCTATACTTGGGTGAGTCTGCACTGCCAATCGCCAGCTAAGGATCTCTACATCTTATGACATTTAAAAGCTCTTGCCACACATATTCTATCTGTTAAGTCCTTAGGAAAGGTAAAGGTGATTTTTTTTTCTATTGGATAGTTTCCTGTTGATGTAAAGAGTATGCAGGCTTCAGATGTACATAGAAATCTCAATCAGGCAGGATGAAAACACAAGCAAGGGTATGCTTGCATATCACCAAGAATGGAAATTCAGATAAAGCTTTCTGCTTCAAACACTATACTTTTCAATATAGGCTATTCATAGACTGAAAAAAGATCAAGTGTTATTCATGCATGATTTGAGTGAAATCCCCAAAGTTGTGTTGCTGTTAGCATAAACTCATCAGTGGTCAATGAGCAACTGCTTTGGATCACTTGAATATCAGATGTGTGTTGATGTGTAAAAGACCAGTAAAATCCATTCTAAACTGTACCTGACTCTTCGGGCTACACATCTACCTCAAGCACAGCACTGATAGAAAGACCTTCCATGCTTTATTATGGTTAAAGTAGTCAGAATCCATGGATAATGGAAGTTCTAGTCCATCTGAAGGGCACAGCTTCCCATCCTCATTATACTTACACCACTTTTGTTCCTGCAGTGAGGTATAGGTTCACATCTATCTATCTATCTATCTATCTATCTATCTATCTATCTATCTATCTATCTATCTATCTATCTATCTATCTGTAAGAATTTCCTACAGATGAAGATGCTGTGCCATATTATTTTTCTGTCTCAATAACACACATGAGGCAGTGATAATAATTAAGATCTCATCCCATCCAGAATAGGAATTACTGTATCTCATTACAAATTCACCAAGTCCTTGTACATAAGAACAGACCAAGGTGTATAACTGTGTTACAAGGGCATTGGACTTCAGCTGTATGATGGATCAAGAAAGGAGATTGGATACTGTCATAGACCAGATCAGACTCTTTGTCCACTTAGCCCACCGTTTCAGTATTGCCTATTGCAGGACATAGGTAGAAGGTCCTTTCTATTACCAAATACCTAATCCCATGTCGAGGGCATGAGATCAGTTACTTTTTGTTGTGGTTGTTTAATGTGGACTGCAAGGGATTGAGCCCAAGACCTTCTGCACAGAAAGTATGTGCCTTACCAGTGTACTATGAACTTTCCAATCCAGGCCTCAGGTATTTTAAAAGAAGTCATAGAAATGCTGATCTACTCACCAAGTGTTTCCTATTTCCAAAACAGATGCTGTGGCAAACGCTGCTCTATCTTTTAGATGCTGAAAGTTTGGTGGTGCTATATTTCTGTTGCATTTGCAAGTGGTAACTTCCCCCTCCCATCCACCAATCCCATACATCCTGATATGCCATTCAAAACCTCTTGTTCAACTAGCTTTCATTGAATAGAGCATCACATTGTGTTTAGGAATATGCCACATTTTTCAAAGGGCAGCCACTGATTTCAGACTATGACCTTTTTCCTTTCTCTTTGAACACTAGATCAGTTCAGATCATGGTATAGAATGCTCTTCCTTCTTTGGTGTCATCCTGATGTGTTAGAATAAAATTCCCATAATTCCCAGCCAGTACATCTGGAGAGTACCAGGTTAATGAAGTATAGATTAAGATGAGACTCAGATTTTTGAAGAATTATTGTACAACACTACCTATGCATTCTGCCTGATAAAGAGTTCCATGCAATTTGAAAATGCACAAACCCTCATTACATCTATAGATACTGGCCCAATAAAAATATCACCTTACTAGTTGTGTATACCTTTCTGAATATGGATTTTCAATTCTGATTAATCATGGTGCTTCTCTCTTTTTCCCCCCCATAAAACTGAAAAAGAAAATACAACAACAACAAAAAGTGAAGGGGTGCAAGTCTGTATTTCTGTTCATGCTGCGTTTCTAAAAATCATGTTGCCAGATCTATGTCTTGGGTGTGATAATGTATTCACTGGTCACAGAGCTAGCACAGAAGCTCTATCAAGCACTATTTCTGTCTCCACAAGAGAAAGAAGTAGAGCTAAAACTTGCTGTTAGGAATAGGGGAAAGAATGACACTATTTGATTACCCCCTCACTCTTTGATCATTTTCTGTTCTGAACAGTTACTACTGGAAATCATGAAGCACATCCTACAGGCAATTATATGTAACTTGCTGTTTCATCACAGCTTTCTCAGATAGTATCAGCTCTAAATACATTGGCTTCTTCTTACACAAACTATTACCACTGTATATTAATACTGAATATTTATCCATGTGCAATGGCAACAAATAATAGGCATTTGCAGCACGTTGGATTCAATCTCCAAAACAGTCCTTGGAGCACAAGAGCACAGAGGCATCACCTTCATGCAACCTATCAAAGCAGCTGCTTATTTTCTCAGAAACATGCAACTGTCCTTTTCGAGGGAAAGGGTAAGGCTGCTTTAAGGAGTTTCAGACAGGTGTTATTCTCTGAGGACGGCTAGGGAAGTTCCTACAAAGGCTTCTCGGTATTGTGACAGCAGTTTCTATAAGCTGATCTAAATATGGTATGAGTTTTTAGCAGAGCCATCTTCTCAGCAGAGGTCTCCACGGAACAAAGAATTAGCCTCTGATGGACTTGTTTTCTTTGTATTCACTGGGTCAACATACAAACTTCCATGATCAATGTTGCTTGTTCAGGGTCAGCTCATATTCTGCATCAAAACATCCCACATTCAATCTCTGGCATTTTCAGGAAGAACTACTAAAGAATCCTGTCTAAAATCCTGGCAACCTGCTTCCAATCAGCAGTGTCAAGAACACAAGGAAATATGCACTAATAGATTCAGGAAAACTGCAGCAGATTCTGATGGTCCTGCCTCTAACCTAATGTGGGTAGCAACTCTTCACAGTGCAAATTAAGTGGATTATATGTTCAGTGGTGAATATTTGAAACATTTTATTAATCACCTTAATAGAATTTTAACTTTCCTCAATTGTCTTACAGGTCGAATAGGTTTTCTGTTGTTTTAAAGGCTTGCCAAAGCTATTCCACCTAAAATTATGATGAGGTGTCATGGGGCTGCAGGTGAACTGCCACAACCTCCTTTTCAATTGTTTGAAAAACTGGTTTTTTTTAAAGCCTAGATATATTTTTAAGATCTCCCCAAATCCATTATATCTCTGTTTAATCATGCCAGCATGTTTTCAGCTGTATCTCAAAAAAAAAAAAAAAAAAAAAAGGCAGTTCTGACTTTTTCCATCATCTTCCAACAGGGCTAATTTCTATAGGACTCTGAGCATCTGGAAGTCTTACAGCCCCACACAGGTGGCACTTTAGCAAAATGACAGCTGCTGTTTTAGCTTCAGAGCTGCATCTTCTTACTGTGGTGTGGTTGAAAATCAGGCCTATAATGTTAGTGTAACAAATGTTACTTTAGCAGAGTCATCTGTGGTTTCACAGTTAAAGATCCAGTAGCCACCAACTAATAGGGAGTGGAAGCTTCCAATATTTGGGAGGTGAATCACAGCTATTTTATAGGCACTGGGGAAAAATGTGCAATAAATCAGAAAATGGCCCCTGCTCGAGGGCATGAGATCAGTTACTTTTTGTTTGGAAAGTAAAATTGAGCTGTGAGTAGAATTCTCCCTGGAGTGCTTACAACTCCCTCATTATAAATTCACTGCATTGAGATAGATGAGCAAAGCAGCCCAAATGCTCATTGTTTACAGCAAACTGCTTTACAACCTCCATTGTCTGTGCAGATCTATACCGGATATGAAATGTGGTTCTAATCCTACTGGAAACATGATGACTTCTGGGTTTACTTTTTTGTACAGTAGCTGGGGATGTGCTTAATGGCTACTGAGAAGGTCTGGTGGTATCTTTGGAGGAGTGAATGGAGCTTGATGCACCTATTTTCTTTCTTTTTCATGAAAAAGATGAAAACCTTCTCAGTAATCTTTGCATTTAACTGCCAAATTTTAGCAGCGCCCATAGGGGATTCCTAGGTTTACAAAAAGGGGTAGGGGAGGTGCAAAGTCTAACCCTAAGCCTCAATGGAAAAGCCAAACTTTTTATACCAAATTGAACACCTGGTGCCTGGCCCTGTTGGCAGGGAAACCTGGGAACTGTAGTCCCAAGGCATCCGGAAACCACCAGCTGGGAAACTGCTCTAAATTTTAGAAATAATATTCTATTATGGGAATGATTAGCATGGAGCCATGGGGACCAGTGCAGTGCCAGATATTCCCCTGCAGTCTACCAAGCTCCCAGCCTTTACCAAAACATTATTTTAATTTAAGAATTAAACAGGATGCTGCAATACAACGTATCAGCATCATAATAAAGGTGAGAACATCCCTAGGGGCTAGTTAGCCTTTTGGCTAATGAGTGTTTTGCAGCTGGCCATGCCTACAAGGTTACCAAACTGTGTGTGAGCAAGTCTTCCGTGGTAGCCACTTTGTGAGTGTGCCAATCACATGCTGTCAAAATTATAGATGTGTCCCTGACCCTGTGGAATCAGTCTATTTAGTTCAACTTCCTATCCTTTGTGCTTGTATCTGGGAAGCCCACAAAATATAGGCTTGGAAGAAGCAGCCCCTTCCTGCTGTTGTTCCCCAGCAGCTGGCAATCAGGCAACAATTCTTCCAAACAAATAAAATGTTATATATTCCAAAAATGACTGATCTCCTCCAGAATGAATCCAAATTAGCAAAATTTGTCACAGAAATTCTGTCTCTTCTAAATAAAATAACAAAGGCATACATAAATGCATGTATTTGTCTGAGGTCAAACTACTCTGAGTAGGCAAATAGGAGCAATTATGAAGCATGCTTTCTCCATCAGATGTCAACATCAAAAGCATGGCTAAGACAGTCTGACCCACTTTGCTTTCATCCAGCCGTGCCTGATTTATCCATTTCAGAATGACCTTATTCTGAAGGCCTTTACTACACTCAAGGGCTGTGTGTTGTGCGATATCTGGCTGGCTTCTGCATGCCAAGAATGATGTCTAGCACATGTAATCTGGTAGCCGGGCTCTCTTTATTACTTATCTGGAGTCAGAGAGAAAAAGTGATGTTGCCAAGAAATCACATGATTTATTGACTCTCCACTGCGGTGGGGGAAGTGAGGACTGGATGGGAACAGATACAACTTTGTGATTTTATTATAAGGCAACCGGGTTAATATTTCTAGGAGAACCAAGGTAGTATACCGAGTTCAAACATCTGAAGAGGGAGGTTAAGGAATCCTGTGTGGGGGGTGTAAGGGTTATTCTGTCCTGGGGCAGTGCAGACGTCGTCTGAGGCAGGGAGCAGGAGAAGAAAGGACACATTGTGACCCAGTTCCAACACCTCCTGTGTATACAGACGGAACAGCTTAGCCTACAGAGGGACACGCACAGAGAAGAAATGGGGGTGGGGGAGGGAAAAAGATATAACATAGCACTTATATAAATACCGCCCCCCCCCCCCCCCCGTGATATAAAGCATTAGAGCAAAGTTTCACAACATCCACCAAACTGGCATTTTTATAAAACATAGGCACATGGATGTGGATGAATGCATGCAAGTGCACGCGTGCACACACACACACATTGATGTGTGCTTTTCTTAATCTTACTTCAGAAACTATTTAATGCTCTAATTAAAACACACATATACACATACAACCCCAACCTCCCCCAGAAAATAACATCCATGTTACTTATTAACCAGAAAACATACACTCTGAACTTTTCAAGATTATGACTGTATCATTTATGCGGAAACATGAAAATGAATTCAGTTAAAAACCTTTAACACTCAGAAATTCATTACGAGAACTAGGTAGAGTTCTGGAGGGTGTTTGACCTGTCCCCCCCACCACTTCCCCTCCATCAGCCTCCACAAATTGGGCCAACGCAAAAAATGCACAAGCCACACCGGAGAAAAACATTAAAGTCAAATGAGAGTGCTTTTTTTTTTTTTATTAAGAATTCTTTTTATCCCAAACTGGAGTATGGATTATATCTATCCTGGTCCCCTTTTCCCCACAAAGCATTGCTCCCTGTTACAGGATGTGACCCCCTTGGGAAAAGAGAAGAAACTCTGCTTATTTCAAAATGGGATGCTGCTGCCCAAGTAGTTCAGAAGCAGACGTCCATATACACCAATCCTGGCTGATGAGAAATTCTAGCTCTTAAATTTGAGATATTGCTGCCTACAAGATGCATGACTCAGCATGCATCATAAGCCTCCCTTATTTTTCCGTTTAGCTTTAGTTATTTTTAAAGGCCTGCAGAATTTGAGAGATGATTCAGATCAGGTTCCACCTCCCCTCAACACAATACGCCCAATGGATGAATCATTCCAATCATACTTAGAAGAGAGGCTAACCATGCAGAAGATAGTGAATTTGATTATAGCCTGGAGTTCTCTATATCCTTGGTCGTCTTTGTGTAGGCACAATGAAATGGGTGTATGCAAAGTAGCTTTACGCCAAAAAATAAAAAAAGATCTGAGGGCTGTTCATGGGACTGTTACTGTTAATATTAAAAAGTGGTAGAAAATAAGCCACTACTTTCCAACAATTTAACATTCATGATGTCACATGCTGATGGCCATGAGGACAAATTTGCCCCAACATTGGAAAAAATATACACTTTATACTTTTTTGTATACTTTACCGACTGGAAAACCAAATTTGGGGAATATGCAGCAATGGCAAAATTAAAAGTATACAACCAGAGGTTTGACTAAATTTAAGCAAGAATGGCTTCCCTCTATACTACATGTCACATAAGTCAAGAGTTTTAAGGAAGAAATATTTGATGTAAAGATAGAAACCAGAAGGAATTTTAATATTTATAAATATTTTGATGTAATTGCTAGTCGGGCACAATGGGAGGGATTTAGAACTTAATATGGTTGTACTGATTGTTTTTATTATTTTTTCCCCTTTTTTAGCAAGAGCAAGAGCATTTATTTTAGGAATAATAGTAAATAGTGCTGACATCAATATAAATATTAATGTTTCGAATGTTGTGATTTTCAATAAATAATGAAATAGTGAATTTTACATTTTATGACAATTGTAAATTCTCTGTTTATTTACTGATATTTTATTTTCCATCCACTATGTCCTTTCTCTTTTAGGTAGTCATTTATTTTGTTCCTTAAATGTTTTAAAATAAGTTAAAAAATATTAAAAAAAAGGGGGGGGGAGGGAAAGGAAAAAAAAAATATTCATGGTGTCCAAAACAAGAATTCTACAGAGAACAGCCTGCATTGATAGAGCTTTTTGAAAGAGTAAGTGCCAAGCCAAGGGGTGGGAAGTGGGAAGGCCATGCTGGAGGGTGTGAGGGAAGGAGATGAAATAAGGTGTGTGGGAGGTGATGCCCCTATGCTTTTTCTCTTTTTGTCCATCTAGCAGTCACATGTTTGTGCACACTCAGCAGGAGCCTGAAATGGGCTCATGGCTGTGTCTATTCCTGGTCAATAAATGTGAAGGTACATGACCTGGTTTCTTTTAAGTCAAGATTTATTGGCATAATTTGCAAAGCATGAAGAAATATGGAGTTACGTGTGTGTGTCTGTTTCTTTGTGCATATTTGTGTGCATCTGTGCTGTTTAGCTTTGATCTACTTTCTGGATCACTTATGGGCTCTCATAATGATTGACAAATTATTCCAGAGGTAAAACAATACCACAAAAGAAAAATAGAAAATGAAGAAAGGAATCACAATAATAAAAGTAAAGAAATCAATACAATAAAACCAGTTATCTGTCATTCTCTCTCAATCCAAACTATTTCCTAAACAAAAAATCTGAATCTGCAAAAATCCGATGAAAGCATGTCTAATTCAGGAGACCTCTTCAAGTTCTGCTGTGCAGCCTCATCATTTGTGTGTGTGTGTGTGTGTGTGTTCTTGGGAGGGATAAGCAACGAATACTGGGAGTGGAGTCCTTGGTGGGGTCCTCTGAGTTTGGTTGTTTGCTTGCAGACGTTTCACTACCCAACTAGGTAAGTGCTAGTGAGCTTGGGGTTTGCTCCCTGTTTCTATACAGTAGCTTGCCCTGTCAGTGTTGGTGGGGGTGTGGTTTTTCTCCTTGGCAGCTCCTTGATTAGGGCACTGTTTTCTGTTGGTTTGTCTGGTGTTAATCCCTGCTTATCTGCGTGTTGGCTGCTGGAGGGGATATGTCCTGGTCTTTTGGTTTCCTTCTTAGCTTTTTGTTGTCTCTTTTGAATGGTATGTAAATATGGGAGTGCTTGCCAAAAATATATCATCCCAGCAGCGTCAACCAAGTGTGAAGGTCATCCCAGCTGACTAACTAAAGCAAGTGGGCACCTATATTGAGCAGCAGTGATATAGGAAGATGCTGGAAGTGGATGATCACTTCAGTGACAATAGGAAAGGTATCAATTCATACTGTACAGGAGAAGGCAATGGTAAATCACTCCTGCATTTTACCAAGAAAACCACATGGATAGATAATATAAATTGATTGATGATGGCCCCCTCAGGTCAGATAGCACTCAACATGCTACTGGGGAAGAGCTCAGGATCTTTTGGAGTACTAATGTTGTTTATGACTAATCTAGAATAAAGCCTTTGGAATGTCTAGTTGCTGATGTTGCCATGCTGGAAAGAAAATCCAAAGCTGCAAAGACAGAATTACAGTGGAAGCATGGAATGTAAGAAGCATGAATATGGGAAAGCTCAACACAGTGAAAAATGAAATGAATTGACTACACTTTGGCACCTTAAGCAACAGCGAATTGAAATGGACTGGAATTGGACACTTTTAGTCAGAAGATCATACTGTTTATGATTTAGGACATGAAAAACAAAGAAGGAACAGTCTAGCTTTCATAGTCAGGAAAGATATATCAAGGACAATATTTGGGTACAATTCAATCAATGACTGAATAATATCAATTAGACTTCACAGACAATGTTTAATAGGAAGATTATCCTAGTTTAATAGGATGATTATCCAAGTTTATTCTCCAACCACTGATGCAGGAGAACAGGAGCTTGATGAGCTTGAAGTTCATTCTGAAATTGACAGAACTTGCAAACAAGATGTTCTGCTTGTGGTTGGACTGGAATGCCAAAGTTGGAAATATTAAGGAGCAAAACATAGTTGGGCTCTATGACCTAGGAAACTAAAATGAAGCAGAACAACTTATTAATTCCTGTCAATCCAGTGTTAGTGATTTCTTCATTGCTAATAGTCTTCCAACAATCAAAATGACACCTACATACATGGATATCACTGGATAGATTCCACAGAAATCAAATTGCCTATATTACTGATATAAGGAGGTGGAAAAGATCAATTTAATTCAAGAGCTAAAGACATAGCCAGGGGCTGACCTTGGAACAGATCAAGAACTGTTCATATGTAAGTTCCAAGTCAAGCTAAGCAGAAGAACATGGCCAACCAGTTTCCACAATATGAACTTGAACATCTAACCACCATTTTCAAGAAGAACATCAGGAGTCACTTTGAAGTCCTGAAGCTCAGTGATAGGGAACCAGAGGAACTGTGGAATGAAATCGAAGAAGTTGTTCAGGATGAGTGTAAAAACACACTGCTAAAGACTAAGAAATAAAAGAAATGAAACTGAATATCAGAATATAAGGTGAAATTGTTGAGAAGAGAAGAGAAGCCAAAGTCCAGAAAGACAGAGATCTCAGGAAGAAACTTAACAAAGTATTTTAGAAGATTGTTAGAAGAGAAGAGAAACAGTATCATAAAGACATTGAAGATGGAAACAGACCTGGAAAACCAAGGAAAGTTTTCCAAAAGATTTCCAAACACAGAAGGAGTTTCCAACATCAAATTAATATGCTAAAGGACAGTAATCAAGAGATAAGGCTTCAGGAATTGATGGCATATCACTGAAATATGGAAAACAACAATAGAAGAATCAGTAAAGGTTCTAACCAAATTATGCTAGCACAGTTCGGTTAGAACAACCAAACCTAATGACACAGTGGCCAACAGAATGGAGGGCCATCTACATAACAATACCAGATAAAAGAAATTTAGCAGGGTGTGTAAACTATTATACAATATCCTTAATTTCTCATATTAGCAAAATAATGCTTAGGATCATCTAACACAGATTAGAGCCCTACGTGGAAAGGGAGATGCCAGATGTTCAAGATAGCTTTAGAAAAGGCCAAGAACATGAGACATTATTCCTTATGCATGCTGTCACTATGTACTTCATTGACTATAGAGAGTGCTTTGATTGTATTGACTATGTCAAGTTGTGGAATGTGCTTAGGAAAATGAAAATCCCAGAATATCTCATTGTCCTCAAGCAAAACCTAGACACTGGTCAGAAAGCCACAGTCTGGACAGAACATGGCAAAACAGACTGGCTCCAGGTTGGCATGTATACACTCATCTTATTTATCCAATTTATATGCTGAATATATTGAGATAGTCTGGATTGAAGTATGATGAACATAGTTTTAAAATTGGAGGAAGAAACATCAGTACCTTGTACTATGCTGATGATATTACTCTGATGGCTGAAAATATAAATGATCTGCAATCTCTAGTAAGGAAAGCCAAGAAGCACAGTGAAAAAATGGGACTAAGATTAAACATAAAGAAGACTAACCAATCGAATCATCATCATCATCATCATCATCATCATCATCATCATCATCATCATCAATTCAGGAGGCTGTGTAAATTATAAACAAATCACCACTGAAGACAACTGCACTCAGCTCTTATGAGCTAAATCTGGATGTATGGCAAAGGGATCGGATGACAGCTAGATACTTTAACTGTGTATCATTTTGTTTTAACACAGTACTGCAAGAGATGCACCCGTGGGAAAAGACCTGGGATCTGGGCATACAAAGTAGCAGTCATGCACTTGCTTCACTGTATTACCTGTGCTCATCACCCAACTGTTGAAGGTGCAAATCTGATGGTACTGACTCTTCACCACTTCATGACCTACTAGTCACAAGGTCAGCAGGGTGCAGACAGAAAGTTAAAGATGTTCTCTGTGTTCCCGCTTTGCTTCTCAGTTCACATACTTTTTGTTTAAGAGGTTGCTAGTCTGAGGTCACTTTCTTCTGTCTCTCTTCCCAGGGACACAGATACAGAGTGCATGCTCCTGGACACCTCTCCCTTTGCCTATCCCTATAATGTATTTCTTATAAATACATCACCTTTCTGTTACAGATATAAAACCTGCTTCACTAATCACTAACTTGCCCAGGTTCACTAACTTGCCCAGGTTAAATTCCTGCTCTCAGGAACACTCTTTCACATATACACATATAGATCTCCAACACAAACCATATTTCACACACTTATATAAGTGTGTGTGCTCAATAAGCTCTATTGCCACTTACAGCTGGCCATTTGTTTTATGGCATGGATCACTATCTCGAATGAAATTAAGTTTTATATGGGGTTTCACCATGAGCTCACTGTAGGTTAGAGCATAATTTCTGAAAGCTTGCAAAGGCAACAAGGCTATGAACTTTAATACAACTTTTATTCGTCTGTCTTAAGGCAAGTAAAATGCAACTCCATCTTTTCCTAATTGGTAGCACAATCTGGACAAATCAAATTTGACACTGAATCAGCTCAAGTTCAGTGTTGTTGATCAGCATACACACACATACAAACGCACACACAGACGTATGCATATTACCAATGTTTTCCCATCAATGACTTTAACTACTTGAAATGAGATGGATGACAAGGGTCACGTTCCAAAATACCTGTTGTAGAGGTAGATTGATCTGTTTAAGAAGAGCTTTCATTGCCATTTGGAGCTCAAAAAACAGTCGAGTCGGGCACTCTGCAGAATGATCCATATTTTCCATAGATTCTGAGCCAGAAAGTCTTTGGATCCATTCCCATTCCTCTCTGTATAGGGAGTGAAGTTAAAATTAGAAATATAACAAAAGTTCATTGCACAAGGAAGAATTTACTGAATGTATGTTTGGGCTTTGTTGAGGTTTTTGTTCTCAGATAGTAAAATGTTCTAAACTTGTAACAGGCCCAATTGCTTGTGGTTAAAAAAAGGGCCAACTTTCTGATTTCATTCTGAGTGTGCATATCAAGCTGAAGACTTTGACGTGCAGGCTGTTCCATGTTTCTATAATTTTTTAATACACATTCCTTGGGCTCCCATGGCAGTTTTCCAGGGGGGCTCAATTTTCTCATCAGGCATGTTTCAGCATTGGGTGTACCCAGTCAAAACTGCTGGGTTTTTATTCTTCCTCTGTTCTTAAGATTTTAAGGCATAAAGCTGAAACAAGGGGATTGTTGGAGTATGTGTACTTCACTGGGTCTCTCCTGGTTGATAAGTTGTCGTGGTGGACAGGAACATCCGCAGCAGGAGGACAAGGGGGGTTAAGTGATGCAAGCACCTCCTGTTTCCTACGTTTGTCATGATGTTGCTTGAACACCCCAAAGGGGCAGAGTTTCAGGTATAACACTGTGATGCTGTCTTTGTCTTGGTCAAGCTGTAAGTGCCATTGGGGAAGGCCTATGTGGGCTTTAGGTAGGCAAAACAAGTACACCCAGCATCTCTGCAAGTTTGGTCTCTCTTGATCTTTGATCAGCATCCATTCAACTGGATTACAGTGAAAGGGCTAGTTAGTCCCTGGGTAAAAGCATGTAGGAACTGCATCCCTGGACCTTCCTGTTGATAGGATGTGGAGTTTATTTCTTTGCTTCCTTGTCATGTTGCATTAGTCTGGCTGAATGCTGCAAACTGTGCAGATAAATGACAGATGATGAGAAATCTTGGCATATACCCTGAGATTCCTAATCACGAAAAGGGTTTTCAGAGATCACCATTCCAGGACCGATGTGTTAGAAAGGAACAGGGCCAATTCACTCAATCTTGCGAGGCTGGAGGGAACAGGTTTACCACTCTAAGAGGCGTAGCTAAGAGGAGCTGGAACCAGGAGTCATCTGATCCCTTGCTGACTTAGAGGATAGAATTGCCCAAAATATAAAATAAATATATTATAGATTTCTACAAAAGTTGAGCTGTGAGATTCATCAGAATGGATTTTGCTATAGATTGAATATCAAGGAATCTGCTAGCAGCTTCCTTTTTCCAGTCCAAAAATAATTTATTTGTGAAAAATGAGTTTAGAAAACATTTTGGAAAGTTGCTTACAAAATAGCGTATATTAGGGATATTTGAAGTTAAAATAGTATATTTTTTTATAAGAACCCTGTATGGGAAAATGTATGTAAACCAAAAAAGCACTGGGGAAATGTTCATAAAAAGCCATGCTGGGGAGATTTAAGATTTTTCCACATATTAATGGAATTTACAAAAGTTCCACACTATAGAGAAAGTTGCAGATATTTTTTAACAGAGGTCTTTTTAAAACATTTATAAAATTCCAACAGCCTGCAGTCTTGCATTTCTAACATGGTCAGTAAAACGGACCTGATTATAATGATCCACACATTCCTAGTGAACGCTACATTAGGCAACAGCTAAAGTTTATCAGGCAACCAACACAGCATTGGGAAGTAAGGTGGAGTTAAATAACTGATATATGCCTTTGTAGTTCTCTGTTCTAATTAATAAAGTTGTAGCTCTTAGCCTACAATAATGTTTTTCTCCTTCAGCAAGTTCCAGTAATGCACCTTCCATTATTTTTGTGTTACTCATGTACTCTGTTATCCTTGCATCACTATTGGTGTGTGAGACAGCCATATCTAACCTATTTTTGCGGGAGGTAGGGCAGGAACTGAAGAAAGAACAAAAACTAGGGCTTGGTCACAATTTAGTTAAGATTTGGTTTTAGCTAAATTATGCTAAAGCAAAAGATCAAAAAGCATGACATAAATCAAGAGAAATGATGCCATTCCCATTTGACTGTAGACACAGAAAACAGGTGGGAATTCTACTGAAACTTAATCTTTGTTAGAAGTATTTTCTATGTCCCTACATCAGTTGCTCAATAATAATGTGAGAAAATCTTATGTAATAATTTCAACACATCTTACAAAACAAGAACATTTAGGCTTGGTTGGTATACTGATGAAGAATCAACAAGTAACTGTTGCTATGATTTTCTTAGACATAAAGAGCAGGACCTGAATTAGACATGTAACAGATACATGCATTTCTTTATAAAAAGTAAACTGAACAATCATTTTTAATTTATCAGCATTTGAGTTCAATGTGCCAATATGGTCCTGTAGACAGAAAACTGGGTATTGGTACTGCTGAGTTCATCTGTTGCTATTGATCCTTGGTTTGGCATTGGGTCAGCTACAATTTTTCACTTTTAGTTCTGGTCATGTGTGAACTGAAAATAGCAACACTGCAGCAGAGCATACAGACCAATCCAGATCGGAAAGCAAATTAACAGAGCAGTTGAACAACAGGGTCCAGACCACATCAGAAGTAAGTTCTAATCGGCACAATGGGACTGAACTGACCCTCAGGGGAAAGGTTCCTCCACTTACCTGGACACATTGCAGTTGTCTCGGATTTTAACGTGGCACAGAATGTTGGGCAGCTTTTGCAGCACAAGCACTTTTATCTGATCTACGGAACTGCAGAGTTTTAAGTAGCCCAAATAAAGGCCAGGAGCCAGACACTGTTGGCTCCTTCTGTGATAGGAAAGTGTATCCTGTTGGAGAAAAACAAAAAGACAACAGTTAAGTTCAAGTTTTCCTGATTTTTTCTCCATATAAAAAAAGAAAGAGAGAGCTCGCCAAGCAGTTGGCAATAACATTGCCATTTCTATTATTGTTAGTATTATTATTAATATTAATAATAATAATAATAGTAATAGTAGCAGCAGCAATACTATTTTGTTTCCCGAGTCCTGTGTTTTGTTTCAAAGCAGGCATTTAAGGGCTCCACTCTCCTTGGAATCTATGCAGGTAATCCTCCCAACTTTTAATTGGAGCAGGGAGGGAGTTATGCAGAGAAGCGACTTTGCAGAAAGTGGCTTCAATATGTGAAAGTCAGATACACAATCCCAACTCTCTCTTTGTATGTTCATTTGCAGACTACTATAAGTATCTTCACAGACTGTTTTCCAGCAATGATTTGACTGCAGCAGCAGAAGCAATCTGTCAAGGTATTCAGAAAGAGCTTCTCGACTCCTTTTAGCCCTGAATTTGGAATTGGAAATATTCCTACTCCTACCTAGTTCTAAATGGGCGATGAAAGCATTCTAAGTAATACTTGGAAGATTCAGCACCAGTTAATCTCCCTCCCACACAGATTGGTTCCACATCAGGAGGCTGCTACTGACAGTCCTACAGTAGAATTCATTCAGCTTGTTTGCCAGGGTCAGAAAGTCATGATTATGGGGTCCTGTTTCTTGTTTCATTGCTAATATTCTCTGTAATGGGTAATTGAGGGATGGGTTCAAGCATTTAAAATGGAAAGAAAAAGAAGGGGAAAAGAGGATTGGAATTAAACCTTATTAAAAAAAAAATTCTGGTGTGAATATGGAGAGGTCTGTTGAGGCCAAGTATCTGCAGGGAAGGGATACGTTATTAACAAATAAATGGGTACAATCTGGAGAAAAGAGGGTTCACATGATTTTCTACCTATTCATTTTTAAAAAAAACGATTATAGCATTTTTGCTGTTTCAGAATTTAACCTAAAAGTGAATTTGGCAGATTTTGTCAAGGAATTTCAAAAGATAAGAGTGGAGGGTGGGGGGAGAAATTAAAGGTGTCAGTAGCTGTCAGAATAAGCTTCCGGTTGCTAAACATGATATGCTACAGGAGTGGCTGTGCCTCCTGAAGCTGACATTTGACTCTTCTCAGCAGAAAGGGCTACAAAGACTCCCCTGCTCAGGTTCTGAAAACCAAAGTTTATTGGCAATTTTTTTCAGGTGGAGGAGAAAATCCTCAGTATCCCTTAATTGCTGGTAAAGGTGTCAGAGGTGTAATTCCAGGGGCATTGAATCTTCAAAGCCTCATGACCAATTCACCACAAGGGGGCAGTGAGGTGTGGATAGCAAGTTAATCTGCTTTCTCTCCCTCTATCACTGCCTGCTTCTTGTTTAACAAACTGCTAATCTGAGGTCACTTCCTTCTCTTTTTCTTCCCAGGTACGCATCCAGGGAGCATGTGTTTTCCAACTCTCCTCCCAGTTGGATGCAGTCATCTAGGTGCTAGGCTTTGGCTATCCTATCATTTATTTCCTGGGAATAAATCTCCTTTCAATGATAGTTCTAAAACCTGCTTCACCAGTCCTTGCTCAGCTTAGATCCAATCTCTCAGGAACGTGGACACACAGAGCGAACACTTCAGCTTCAAACAGTTTCATATTTTAAACTGTTTTAAACATATTTTAAAACTAAATTTTGAGGGTCTTCCTGAGCTCGAGATGGAGTATATATAAAACAGGGTATGTTAAGGCTGACGAAATTTGTCAAGGGCATTGTTCAACTTTGTGGACAAGATGTCCTACACATTTTGGCACCCCAGGTGAAAAGCAGATGCCACCTTCTCCACAGTTACTGGTGCCCTCAAAATTGGGGGATGGGGAATACCTTAATATTCAAAGCAGGACTAGTTTTATTTATTTTGCTGATATTGGTTGTCTTTTGAGTGACCTTAACTTTATTGTTGTCTTAATTACTGTTTTGTAGTATTTTTTATTATTTTTAATTTCTTCTAAGATATCATAAATCTTCCAGACAGATTTATGAGTCACTAAAATTAGTTTGTTTAGTAGATTTGATCCTTCTTTCTCAAAGCAGCATATATAGTGCTTCCTCTTCTTATTTTTCCCAGCAAGACTCTGTGAGCTAGGCTAGGCTGGGAGAGAGAGTGTCTGGCCCCAAATCCTCCAGTGGGCTTTCATGGGTGCGGGTGACTTGAACTTGTGTTTCCTACTTCGAAGTCAATACCTAATGATTATATCAGCCTGGCTCTCTCACAAGGATTTCATTTAATGCTTTTAATTTTAGTGGGAACTATGTTTGGCTAACTTGGTTTGGATGCAGGATGGGGGACAGTGGGAGGCCATAATCAATCAGTCAATCAAATAAATAAAGTTTAGTTAATTCTTCATTTTTAACTGAACTGACTTCCACTATTCACACTTCCTAACTAAGGGACAGATTGGAACAATACAACAAATATGTCCTTTGAATACGTAATACACAGTGGCTGGCAAGCTGCATTTGAATCCCAAAAAGTCTATCAGAAGGAATTTTTGGTTATTTGTGAAATTTGACACAAATGGAGAAAAACAGGGTACCTGGATTGTGATGAGCAAGATGTCTAATGCTGTTGGCTCCTCAGGTGTTGAAAGGGATTTTCTCTGGCTTTGTAGCTTAGATATCTGCATCCATTTGCCATTAAAAAAGGAATAGAGACTCTCCACTTCTCTTATTGTAACTATGATAACATTGCCATGACGGTCTTTGATTGGTTCATAATAGACTTGGCCCAAGTTATGTGTACCTAACAGGTTCTGTGGTTGAAGAGGGAACAGTTGAAGACTACAAAACACACAATTATTGACTCATTTTCACACGTCATAATGCACATGTTCAACTATCGGAAAAACAGAAGAGCTTTCAACAGCTGATCGCAGAAATAAAAACAGAGTAAGAACAACCAAGCCCTTTAAATGATCATTAGTTTAATGTTGAGCCTTTCTTGTTTCAATAGGATGGTAAATCCCAGGTAAGAGTAGCAATTATCACAATGAGGGAGACCCAACAGTTGTGTTTGTCTCAAACTGATGATGCCTGTCCCATTTCTATGTAAACAGAATTAAGAATACATAACAGAATAGAACATGTTGGATGGAGCACAGAGATGCTCTTATTATTCGCAGCACTACTTTGTAATGAGTCTAGTTACTGCTCCAGTTAGCTTAGCATTACCTGCTCCGATAGGCAGCAGCAGCATCTGGGGCAGATTCCCAATGCTATCACTATCTGAGATGTTTTTAATTGGAGACTGGACCTTCTGCAAGACAGCATGTGCTTCTACCACTGAGATGTGCCCTTTCCTATGGCATTAAACAGAAAATGATGGGAATGTTCTATATAGCTCTACTGCTGCTAATCAGCTGACAAAAGGAAGGATTTTTACAAAATGGCCTACTGCAATCAGGGACAACATTCCCAGAGAGTTTTAATGCAATTGGACCATATCCATAGGCTCAGATCTCTTCTCACAGATGGGAGCATTAGCATTTTTTTTAAAGCAAAGAGAATTAATCCAACATGGTGATTATTTGAAACGCTCTCTGTGTCCCTTAGCAGGATGTAGGAAAATTTCTTTTAAAACAGCTGGATAGAATATGGATGGTTTACAGCAATATCCCCCATCCTGGTGACCTCCAGATGTGATGGGAATTCCCGGAATTCCCATGCTGGTCACATGAAAGCTGCTGTTCTAGCATACCTGGAGGACTCTAAACTTAAGAAGGCTGCTGCCTGTAAGTTTGGTTCACCTGTTAGCCTGAATTAGTCCCTGAATTAGATACAGTATCCTTTCTTGACAATGCTGAACTTCAGATCACAAGCACTGATGGAACTGTACCTGAATCTCTATTTTTTTTTAAATCCAATTTTTAATTTGAAGGGCATAAACATTATGGGTAACTTTGAAAGCTACTCTTGGCTGGGAGTTGACTGATACCAAGCATTATGTCAATTACATACAGTACTGTGCAAAGGTTTTAGGCAGGGGTGAAAAAAATGCTGTAAAGAAAGAATG